TGTCACAGAAACTGAAACTGAGGCATCTAGGAAAGTGCAAGATGTTCCCTTCCCTAAACACATGAAGCAGAATAAAAATGAAGAACAGATCTGGCAGCACAGTTTGCATTTCCCATTATTATTTGCACACTCTGCATATTGTGGATTGCAAGGGAAAATAAGCTGCTCTGAAACCTCTTTTCATTGCTCCCAAACAGTCTAGTTGGTCCATGGATCCAAACCTCTCATTACTCAGCCAGACACTTCTACTATTTTCACCTCCTTGCTTTGTTTATCCATGATAACATGACTGAGTGCATTTCTGCCTTACCATGCAAGTAGGTGTTATGATTTATGCTTTGTTTTCTTAAATAGCCTCCTACAACAGACTCCTTTGTCTTCAAAACACAATCCCCTCTGTGCTTCTATTTTCTCCCAGGCACCAGCTGAGGTACCACTCACGTTGTCATTGCTCTAACTCCTGAAGTCTAATCCCAGCACAAGAAAGATGAGGACCTGTTGGAGTGAGTCCAGAGGAGGCCAAGGAGATGCTCCAAGGGCTGGAGCCCCTCTGCCCTGGAGCCAGGCTGGGAGAGCTGGGGGGATTCACCTGGAGAAGAGACCTGAGAGCCCCTTCCAGGGCCTAAAGGGGCTCCAGGAGAACTGGAGAGGGACTGGAGAGATGGAGGGACAGGGCAAGGGGGAATGGCTTCCCACTGCCAGAGGGTTAAATGGGATATTGGGAAGGAATTGTTCCCTGTGAGGGTGGGGAGGCCCTGGCACAGGTTGCCCAGAGAAGCTGTGGCTGCCCCTGGATCCCTGGAAGTGTCCAAGGCCAGGTTGGACGGGGCTTGGAGCAACCTGGGCTAGTGGAAGGTGTCCCTGCCCACGGCAGGGGTGGAGTGAGATGAGCTTTAAGGTGCCTTCCAACCCAAACCAGTCTAGGATTCTCTAAGTGAGGCAGCCTGCTGGAATTACTCAGGACTCACTGAGAGCTGTCTGCCAGCCACAGCCTGGATATAACATTGATTGAGAGGCCATGGAGAGAGAGTAAGGGCTCAGTCTTCAAACCTCTTCAGTCCTTGTCCTTTTTACTAAAGCATTTGGGAGTAGAAATCCTTGTCCATCTGGAATAGAATGGAAATGACATTTCCACCTGACCAGCCCAAATCGTATGGTTTTTAGTCCATGCAAACCTGAGTGTGAACTGACAACTTTATAGATAAAAATAATAAAATGTCATCCTTCAAACCAATGATTCTTTACCATTGAACTTTACATAGAATGAAATCATTGTGTTGTGCAGTATGCCCGTAGCAACTTCAGGTTGTAACTAGTGCTAACCTGTGATTTTGCTGATTTACAAGTCAAAACAAGAGAAATCTTCATGATACAGTACAAGAATTTCCAAAACAGGTGAAAATTATGTGCCTTTACAGATGAAAAAAAGTATCAGAAATTACTTACTTGCCAAGTACTGCTGGAATAAAGGACAGTAAATAGAGGAGGACTGGTACACTGTACTTACCATTGGATACACACTTTTCCATTAGATCTGCTATTCCCAAACACATGGATAGTATTTACATTACAGATTAACCATACTTGGAGTGAAAACGTTCTGAAAACTTTGCCACTAGGTAAATATCTTTAAGCTGAATGTTCAAGTTAAATTTCAAACCCTTTTGTCCAATTCATTACGTCCAACTGGGCAATGTTTTCCTGTTAAACATCTTTCTGAATTGGTTTTGCTCTGCTTCATTATTCCTAAACAATCCCTAGAGGAAGTTCAAAGGATAAGGGTTTATCATGTCTCTCCAAATACAAATGCCTCTCTTAAACTGTGCTGTCATAACAGTCACGAGGTCTCCCAGCTCAGTTAGTGCATGTGGTCAGAAACAAGAAAAATATTGTACTTATAAGCTTTGGAACTTATAAGCACAAAGAGTCAAAGCTGATCACAGGCTACCTAAATTCAGTTACCCCAGAGCCTGCCTAAGAAAGGTCTGCTCTGCCCCAGGTAAGTGCAGTGACCTATGTGGGAAGCAAAGACAGAGATATTTTTTTTCCCCTTTTATTTGCCTGCCCTTCATCTTCAGATGAAGCCTCTTGACCTTCTTTGTAAGAGGCCACTTCATACTGTTGTGTATTAAATACTTTCAGCTTTACTCAGAGTTTGCTGTTTTGTAACAAAACCTCCTCAAAGCATTCAAGGAATGGAAAGAGACTGTTTTAGTAATAAGGCAGAATTCTTTTTCTCTGACAGAAAGACCCAGCAAGTTTTATATTGCTTCATCACTATAAGACTAAAAAAGTTTTGGTTCTACTCAACCAAAACTTTCGTAACCTACATTCATGTTTTTTATTTGTCCCGGAATCTGACCCCTTCAGCCTGTCACAGATCTGTTTTTTCAACATCTAATGCCATTAATAATTAGGTATCTCAGTTCTCTGACCGTGAGAACTAAATTATATGTACCACAGAACATCCTGCTTGCCTCAGAAATCTTTTCATCTCCTAGTTATCTCCTCATCGCTGTCATTATAAAAATGGATATGGATTTGAAAATGGGTCATGCAAAAAAACCCTTCCGCAAATGATGCCCCAAGACATAATCAGAACCCTTAAATCTCTATATTTCAATGGGTTCAGTGGAGCTATAGTGACTTCAGTAATTCTTTTTATGGCAGTCAGTGATCAGAAAATACTTCTGCATATTCAGTAATGCTTCATCACTCGTTCTTTACACACTGTAATAGTTTATTTTTCAATTTATACTTACGAGTTGGGTCTCAGGAGGTTAGTAGTATTTTCACATATCCATATAAGCTCTAAGTTTCTTAAATGTAGTGTCATGAATAATTGTCATCACTCAAGAGGCATGTAAAGCCTACCGAGTTCTTTTCAAAAAAATTGAATAACCCTTATCTCACACCAGGGATTTCTTGGTTTTAAGTGTCTCCAATTAATTACTGCTGCCTCGTAGACTCATAAACTATCCAATATTTCCTGGAGAGATGTAGAGGCAGAATTCTTTCAGACAAGCACATCCAGAAAAGAACCCTTGCTCAGTACAGATAATGCTTCCCACTGACTGTGCTAATGTTTCTTACATCTTCAACAGCTACAGCCTTGAAAGTATTTGTAACTTTTTTATCTTCCCTTCCCCCCCCCTTTCCCATGGTGTCATATGAGATCTGACTGTGTATCATTAACTATTTGACATGTCCTGGATATCATTTGGAGCCAGGCTGTTTTCATGTGAAATCATTTTGAAGGATTTTAAATAAGAAGCTCTTACTCCATCTACTAAATCTGGTTTATGTTACTTCACCTTTCAAACTGCCCAAACACATGACATCTCCTGAAAATTAACAATGTGTATACTATGATGTGATACCTAATTTAGTTTATCCTATGAAAGTCTGATCAGTTCCCACAGAAATAAATTAAAAACACTGTGTCGACCTAACAAAAATTAGATTTGACCCTAAAAGGGCAGGACTCTGCTTACATGAACAGAGAGAACATGGTATTTCTATCAGTCTTTAAAGAGAGAATGAAAATTCAGGAATCTCTTATTAGAGAGAAGGAGAGAGATAAGGACATAATTCCAGTGAAGTCAGCAGATATAAACTGATAAAACTGCTTTCAGGATGAATTCTGACAAATGAAGCAAAGCCAGAGTAGCTGTTACAGCCTCAGGTTAAAATCAAGACACAAAATAAAGATGTTTTGCATGATAGAGGCCGTTTATAACCATAAGGACATACATTCAGCTCAGCACTTTCATCTTTTCCCTTTTATACTTGCATTTATGATCTCACCTGGGTTTCCTACCCTGGATTTCTTCACAGCCATAAACATGCTGTACTCTGTGCTTAGGGATTTTGGGAGCTGCTATGGATTCTGCTTGGAGAGTGCATGTGTCAGTGCCCATGGAGCACTGCAGCAGTGCTGTCACCTGGATTTTAAACTTTTGGAACAGTACTTCATCCAGGGATAAAGTTCCCTTGTCTGCCCCAGCAGGGCCCCAGAGCTCTTCCTGTGCTCTGCATACAATCTTCTTGAAGTCTCCTGACGTGCTTTTGCTCTCCTGGATCTTCCAGGGGGAAGAACAGCAGCTCAAAAGTGGAGTTACTCTGTGCTGTTACCCTGGGTGTGACTGGGCACTTTGGGGTTCCTGTGACCAGCTCGGAAACCCTTTCTGGAGGCTTCCCCACAGCACAGACCAGGCTGAAGCTGCTGCTGCCTGGGGAGTGTGAAATGAAGGGGACCCCTTGGTCCCCTCCTCATCTAAAACTCTGCCCCACTGATCTCTAGTAGGATCATTACTGTGCATCTGCAGCAACCCTGGAACGAAGCTGGCCCTTCCAATGGGAGCAGGTTCACTATGAAATGATGAAGCAGCACCTATTAAACCTGCAAATTCTTTTATATTTCGAAAAGACAGAGAAAACCTATCCAGAATCTGGACTTCTGCAAAGTCGTAGAATCGTAGAATCATCAAATGGTTTGGGTTGGAAGGGACCTTAAAGACCATCCAGTGCCACCCCCTGCCACACCTTCCACTAGCCCAGGTTTGCTCCAAGCCCTGTCCAGCCTGGCCTTGGACACTTCCAGGGATCCAGGGGCAGCCACAGCTTCTCTGGGCAACCTGTGATCATGCTTAAAGACTAGTTGCCCCCACTAAAGAAAATAAAGTTGCTGAGCCTACAGGCAGATTAAATGCTTTCTCCAGTTAACTGATATGGTTTTGCAAGTGAAAAAGTGTATTGGGTGTGAAGCCCAGCTGCTTTTTGGTGGAACAGTTCCCATAAGTGTAAAATTCAAAGACAGAAAAAACCCCCATGTTCACTTCAACACTGAGATTCTTCATTAAAACATAAAATACATTAAGAGTGGAACATATATATTACTTTTAGAAGAAAGGGAAAATGAGGCTCCATTAGTAAAGACAGTGAATAAGGAAATATAACTGAGATGGATTTGATTAATAGATTAGGAATGACAAAATAACCCAAGTAATGTTTACTTTCCCAGCATTAAGTAACCTTAATTACATTCTACTTCTCTAATAGATGTTTGCCACAGGGCATTTATCCACCACGTTGAACAGTAAATTTATGTATTTCTTTATGTAAGTCTCAATATCAGCAGTCTATTTTCAAAAGCAACATTAAGGTCATGTAATGTTCTGTATTTAGGGTCTGTGCCAGAGCCCACTGGAGCTGAATCCCACTGAATCCCCAGCACCAAAGTGAGCCTTGTTGATGTGAGATGTTCCACACTGGGGAGTGTTATTGCTCCCTGGTCTGTCTGCCAGCCACAGAAATAGTGCATTTGCCACTTTTCTGTAGGTGAGAAAGTGAGTACCAAAATTATGACTCAAGGTCCCCACCAGGTTTTACAGCTCTACATATTTTTATATATACACTTATATATGCATTTTACAAGGGCATGTAGTGATAGGACGAGGGATAATGAGTTTAAACTGGAAGAGGGTAGATTTACATTAGCTATTGGAACTCGGAGCAGTTGGCCTTTGCTTCAGGTTTTGCTGAGATTGGGCAGACAGGGTTTGGGCAGCTGCAAACCTTTCCTGGTCACTCCTGCTCTCCACAACCTCCCAGCCATATCAGACACTCATAGAATGGTTTAGGTGAGAAGAGACCTTGAAGATCATCCAGTCCCACCCCCTGCCATGGGCAGGGACACCTTCCACTAGCCCAGGTTGCTCCAAGCCCCGTCCAACCTGGCCTTGGACACTTCCAGGGATCCAGGGGCAGCCACAGCTTCTCTGGGCAAACTGTGCCAGGGCCTCCCCACCCTCACAGAGGGACAAGGTAAGAGTCAACAGGAAGCATCTGAAACTGTGGTCCCATATTTGCAAATTCTCCATGTATTTTGCTCCATGAAAATAATTTGTGGAGGGAAAGAGATAATGGCTGTTTATGAAAGTGGCAGTGTTTGTTATCACTGTGAAATAAGAGCAAATCCCTAAAAAAGTTAAATTATCTAAATTATGAGAGAGGTGGTTGAACTCCACAGTGGTGACATTTCTAACTATAAATATTGGAATGAAGCAAACAAGTGAATAATCCCTTTCCACAAAGCACTGCTCATAACAGCTGACATTTTCGGGCCTTATTTCAGTGCCTTGTTAACTGTCTGTTAAATACTATTGCCACATTAAAATATAAATTTCAACTTTGAAATGTTACAGAAATAACTCCTCATTCCCTTGAGGAACAATGTCACTGTCAAACAAAACTAACTCACCAGCATAAACCAGCTTGTCTTCTGATATGGATGGACTGCAAAGAAATAAGACATCTGTGCAGAGACAAAGAGAACTGGAGGAGGGTATTATAGTGCCCTTCTGGTGGAATCTGCATGGATTAATTAATTAATATATTATATATATATGTAATTATATATATATAATATATATATAATATATATAATTATATATATGTGATTAATTAATTATTATTAATTATATTTTGTCTTTGTTGTATTGAGCCCATTGACTGCTGTGCATCCAGTTTTGGGCAGGGAACATCTGAGTTTGATTAGTAAGAAGTACTTTTAATGTTTACTCTGCTACTACCAAAAGCAGTTTTGCATTTCAAAGGGATTCATTGTATTTATTCCCTCATTAAACAACCTATTTTTCAGCTGAAGACAGGTTTTGTATAATGAAGTGTTAATACCTAAAACCAATATCTTCTTATGTTGAGGATGTTACCTGCTGATTAAAACAGGGATCCAGCTCAACTGGGCAAGTTGCTTCCCATCTCTCTGAGACATCAGCACTCGGGAGCTGAGATGGACACGTGCTTCCTCTGTGCAAAGATGGGGTGAGCTTTATTAGCTCTTTGTGAAATTTAAATGAAAGATATTGATCCTTTGATGTGAGGAAGATCTTGTTCTTCCTCCCAGCCTGAAGTTCAGGTGTCACAGCCTGAAGTTGGGGTAGTTGGGCTTTGGCCTATTGACCCATTGAGTCATTAAGGTCATTAAGGCCAAGCCTGAGCTTGGCTGCCATGGAGGACTCTCCTCAGTCTGTCACCAGCCTGAAGGGGAAGGTCCTGCTACTGTGACACTTCTAGGGCTTAACTGAATGTTCTATTTTTATGTTTATTCTCAGGAAGTATTTGCACAAGAGTTTACGAGCACAGGGAGTGACTGGACGTGGCACTCAGTGCTCTGGGCTGGGTGACAGGGTGGGGATCAGGCACAGGGTGGACTCCATGGTCTTGGAGGCCTTTTCCAACCTTAATGACTCTGTGATCCTATGTTGTTTTCCATGAAGGAGGTGTGTTTGTTTATTCTCACATTGCTTTTGGTCTTACAGACCTTCTCCAGCTCAACAGTTACATCTGAGTACACTCCTGATCCCAAGCTCAAGCAGAACATTTAATTGCTAAGAGACTTCCTGTACACAGAGCTCTTAATTGCAATTAGAGCATAATACATGAGGAGGCTCCATCCACTCATGTGGACTGGGGTTGTAAACTTAATTTCCCATCACATGACTTCCCCGGGTATTCCATGGTGGTCATGAAAGGCACCAGTCATAATCTACAAGCCCCATTAAATTTTCATCCACGTTCAGCTTTGGTGGTGTTTTCCTGAATGCCCTGTATGTGATGTTCTCTTTCACCCAGGAGTACTTTCCCTTGATGAGCACTGATGGAAATGCAACCAAAGTTAATTGATATCATCTCCCTTTTCCATTCTGAGGGTAGTTACTCACAGTTTTGCTCTGTTTGCAACCTGCCAAGGATCAGTTGGCTCAGAGAAGGACTTGCTCTGCCTGAGTGACTCCAGCATCTCCCCACAGGCTCTGCTGTGACAGTCTCCTCCAGTCACCCAGAAGTCTCTTGCCAGCCATTTTCGGGCTCAAGGGGAGCATCAATCTCGTGATGGAAAACCTTATGAAAATGAAAGCCCTTGTCACCATCAGCAATCCAGAAACCCTCCTTGGCTTCCACACGACCCTGTGATTTCCCATCCAAGAGACGCTTCCCAGAAAACAGATACTTCTGTTTTAACCAGAATTATTTTTAAAAGGTACTTTTTAGAGGTTTAATTTGTCTTTTAAGAGCAGTGGTATCAAGAGCACCATCACGAAGTCTGTCAGTGTTCCATGCCTCCTAAACAGAGTTGATAGCACTGCTCTGTCTCTTATCAAAACCCCCCCAATACTTAGTGACAAAACCAGCTTAACCTGCTTAAAAATAACAGCACCAATTCATCAAGGTTTTTCAACACCTGATATAGGAAGATAAACAGAAAATATACATGTATTTTTGTCTTGCTTAACTTTGTTTATGATGGCATTATGCAGGCATGCCTCTGGCTTACACATAATTTCCTTACTCAAAGCCCTCCAAAGATTAGTGAGTGTGTCAAAATGGGTTTGTACAAATGCAGCCCTCGGGGCCAAAACATGGAAATTCTACAGTAAAAAAACCTTAAACATATGAGTGTGTCATTTGCTCTTAGTGTAAATTTAAAAGCATTATCATTATATTAAGGACTTCAAATGTTTTGTGTTCCCTTCTGCTTTACGGGAAAATTCTCGCTGTGCTCCTAAAGATTCAGCAATTTTCAAAAGACAATTTCCCTTGTATTTTTTATTCCTGGATTTGTATAGCAATTTAATCCATTCCATATTCTTCCCTGTGAGGGTGGGGAGGCCCTGGCACAGGATCCCAGAGAAGCTGTGGCTGCCCCTGGATCCCTGGAAGTGTCCAAGGCCAGGTTGGACAGGGCTTGGAGCAACCTGGGCTGGTGGAAGGTGTCCCTGTCCCATGCCCCTGTCCCTGGATAAGTTTTAGTATCCCTTCCAACCCAAACCATTCTGGGATTCTATTGACTGGATTTTCAAAGCAATGCCACAATTTTAGCATCCAAAGTTGATTTCTTCACCGTTAAATCCTTAGCACCAGGTGCTTGGAAGTATTTAAGCCTCCAAGAAAAGCAAAAGGTTCAGGTGCTTTTGAAAATACAAGCAGGGCTCTGTATTTTTCCCGTGTTACCCAGAAGCCTTTTTTTGTTGGAAAAGGCATGAAGGTCAGTCTCTCTGCCCTAAAATTTCTAGGTCAGGAGATGAAAACAGTGGGGTTGCCTGTCTCGTTCATCCTTTGGGGAGATTTTATGCTATTTTACATGGATATTGGGCCATGATTATGTGTATTGCACTCAAAAAATATAGAGAGGTGCCTCCGGAGAGATCAGTCCATAGGGATTTACCCTCCAGCCGGGCTGGGAAGTGAGTTAGATGCCTAATGGGATTTTCAAAAGTACCTTAATAGATTAAGCATCCAGTTACCCGGAGATTTAGGAACCTCATTTTCTTTGCATTAGATTTTCCTTTGAAAATGCAGTGTCTGGGTGCCAGCTGCATCCCTAGGGATACAAAGACCTCTGGAAATTGGGCTTTTAGCAATTTTCCAGGCAGCACATGATGTCAGTGAGCAAATGCAAGAGCTCTGTAGGCTCCTGGCAGGGGCTCTCTTTTTGGAGCTCATCCTTGGGCACTAATTCTCATTAATGCATGAGAATGTCTGGGTGACATGACCAAAAATACCTGTAAATAAAGATATCCAAAGTGACTCCTTGGCCTCTTCATTCCACATTAAGTTTTATGGAAGAAATAACACATATTTGTAATTATTACTTGTGGAGGGAAAACAGGAAAATTTTAAATCCACTTTAAATTTTGCCTTCAAAAGACTGAATTAAATTATTTTTATCTCCTCTGGAGGTCTTATTTATTTCCTACAGTGGCTGAAAACTTCCTGTGCATCATATTTATTTCTCTTTTAACCCCCTCCTTTAAAGCTCTGTGTCCTACGCTCCCTCTTGTTTTTCATGGAAATTTTTACCATGAATTAAAAGGAGCAGACAGAGTTGGGGTAAAGGACATTTTATTTAACTTGGCCTCTGCCTGGACCTACATATTTGTTTATGATTGTCAAGGTTCCTGCTTTCATCCAGGCAGAAAATAGTTGCTAAGCAGCAGCTTTGCTTTATAAAAGGCAGAGCCAGGGCCTGATCCTGCCCTGACTTGTGCATGTGGTTGCTTACAGGGTTATCCCAAGGAAGGTAACTTGGATATACCTCCCACCTAAGAGCTGACACATGTCTCTGTACAACTCACAGAGTGTCTTGGTTTGGGCTGGGATAGAATTTTGACACATACACACATATATAAAAATAAATAAATTCTATTTGTGTTCTTGTATGTATTTCTGGGTGTGTCAGTACAAATTGATGTAAAATCTAGTATCTGTCCTCTTAAATGCATTCATTTACCTCAACTGTGCTGGTGGTATGAAGCCAGTCCATGGATTTTTGCCTTGGAAAAATCCATCATAAAAACCTCGCATCGGGTTTTTGAGTTTCCTGCAAAACCAGAGAGGTTCATAATGTACAAAAGAACTGTCAAGTCATGTCTCAGCCTTTCTTGCATTATCGTACCTCTGCCATTCTTTTTACTAAAAATAACTTATTTGTTGAAATTTATGCAAGTGTGTGAGATGAATGGAACTGTACAAACGTAGGAGATGTCACTTGACAACCCTTCCCTGAGTTTTTGACCTGGGACACAGCAGCCAGGAGGATACATGCTGTCCTCTCAGCTCACAAAGCAGATCAAAAGCCTTAGAGGTGATAAGTGCAAATATATGGATTTCACATATTTATCATACAAATATAATATGATATGTGAATATTGTATAATTAGTGGTGTGACTTCAGCAAATCCAATCTAAACTGCTGTAAAGCCACTGCTCCCACAGTCTGGCTCGGCCCAGCAGGCACCTGGGAGATGCTGGGAGCACAGACTGCTCCATCTTGGGATCATGGCAGGGACCCAGGCCAGGAATGACATGATGTTACTCCAGAAGAGCACAAAGAGTTCCCTTTGGAGGCACATCCCGGTCAGGTTAAATCCCTGGCACAAAAGTTGGAGCAAAACAAAACAAGGTTCAAAAACAAGTACATGAAGACCAGGTTGTTACAGCTCTGCAACACCACAGGAAGAGGCCAAGGAAAAGCTGGTCTTAATCATCAGTGGTTGTTTTGCTAATCCAGATGGGATTACACAAGATACTTCGAGGAGAATTTCACTCTCACCCTGTACCTGTGTTTATTATTTTTTTCAGCAGACCCACTTTTATAGGCTTTAATGTTTAATTAACTGTAAATGAACACATTCCCAAAAAAGTGCCAGTGTAGCCCGAAATTCTCAATTTTCCCCACTGCTGCTGACATTAATTTGTTTCACTGTATCTTAAATAAGACAATTCCAGTACCTCCAACCTGAATTTTAGATGTAATCAGATATATATCTCCCATATTCTGCAACATCATGTCAATATCTGAGTTTAACACAACTTCCCAGCACAAACTTAATGTTTGGCCCAAATCTCCAGTTCTTGGGAAAAGTTACTGCCATTTCTCTTTGGTGTTGAAAAGCAGAACTGATTTAAAGTGTATTTTTAAACAGCCAGTGGGAAGTTAAAAAGAGAAGTCACATGCATGACTCATGGTCCTGGAAACAGCTGCGCTGCTTTTGGTGACAAAGGGCTGGTTTAGGCCTTATGTAACTCCAGGAAAATCAATATGCAGCAAATGTACTGACCCAGAAAGGAATCTGAGCCATAATTTAAAAAATTACACAAACTGGCTCATCTCATATCTTTAAATGGGGGTTCTTTGTCCCCCCACATGTCTCACTTGCTGTAATGAGTGATGTGCTGGCAGTAGATTGGGTCACTTGTAGATCAGAACAGGTTCAAAGTTAATCACTGCTGTGCTGTGAGTGTTTGACAACACGAGGAGTATGTTGGGCCATTAAAAATCCCAAAATTCAGGCTGCACCCACCCTAACTGTGGGCAGCTTCCAGAGAGATAAAAAGGGCTACATTCCAGTACCATTCCCCTGGAATTCAGCCTCCAGAGACCTCTGCAACTACAAAACTATTTATTTCCATACCTCCAAAGGACTCAGGAAACCAGAGCAGTAATTTTAGGCACAAGTTCTGTTTGATACCAAAAATGTTGGACCATGAAGGAGTAAACTCTTCCTCAGCATGTATTCGAAGTGGTTATTTTTGTGCCTGGCTGTAGTTTGTTTTACAGTACCCCTGAGTGTTTTATCTGCTGTTTATGGACACTGTATTCTGCTCACAGATTATTGGGTACTGTAGTACTCAAAACTAAAGCAAATCCAAGTATCTGAGATACATATTTAGCAACCCCAGGCCTATTTATAGGCCCTCAGGCCAATGGTCCATCTCACGGACAACTGGGAACAGAAAATGCTGTTTCAGGAGAGCCCGTGAGCCACTTCCTGTGGTCCCTCCTACTGCCCTGAGTTAGGGATATTAGAGGATACATCTCTGATTATTCCCTGTAGTAGCTATTCATGTAGCTGGCATCCATGAATTCGTGTAATCCCATTCCAAATCAGCCTCCATCACCTCCTCGGGATACAAATTCCAGAAGTTCATTACATGTCATTTAAAGAAGTACTTTCTTCAATTAAAGTTTCAAATCTACCTCTTACCTGTTTCAACCTATGTCCCCTATTGCTGACGGATTTAGGGAATAACAGTTTGTCATGCACCCGTCACCTTCATCCAAGGCCAGGTTGGACGGGGCTTGGAGCACCCTGGGCTAGTGGAAGGTGTCCCTGCTCATGGCAGGGGGTGGCACTGGATGCACATATAATGTCTGTTGTATTTCTGTTTTCATAGAAGGAGATCAGGATCATCCTGAAAAACTCTCTCCTTTGTTTGTTATGAATGGAATTCCAGGTGATTGTAGAATAGTCATCCCAAGTAATCCAACAGCCTGTGCAATAAGCTGTTGTAAATCATCTCTGCTTTGCTTGTAAAAAAAGGGATCCCTTCTTGTGACAGCTGTTGTCATCCCTTCCCCTTCTCCTGAAGGGAATGTTAGTCCAGCTGCAGCTTGTGCCTCTTCCCCACTAGCTCATTTTCTGTATTTCAGCCATTTCAATCACGTGTCCACCACCAAATCCCAATGCCCTGAGAGCGAAGCACAACACCCAGCCAAAGGCACACTGCAGTGCCATCCTAGTCCCTGGAATCTGCTCAGCCCCTCAGCACAAAGAGGAGGCAGCAGGTGAATGATCCAAGATTATTCCGCAGAACTGACTTGCTTCAACCACACAGACTTAGGACACGTGTTTCCCATGTCTAGGAATAGGTTTCCCATCTCCTGTTCCTCCGGACACAGCAGCAGCTGCACGTACAGTGCCGGTGGTCTGACACAGGAGAGCAAGTGTTTCAGCCTCTGTCAGGGGAGGAATGACATCCAACTCCACCAGCTGCTCCCTGACCTCAGCTGGGAGGGAGCAGCCTGGAGCAGGCAGAGAGTGTTCCCAAGGAACCAGTGTTGAGGGGTGTGGTGGGCAAAGGTGGGTTTTCAGGCAGAGGAACCAGAGGTGGGCCTGGGAATTTGAATGGAGACTGGAAAAATGGCCGTGGATAATGACGAGCTAAGCAAGCCCTAAGGTAAGGAGGAGTCAGGACTGGCAAAGTCAAGTTTGTCAAGAGAGTTAGTTTGTGGCTAAAGATGGATTGAGTGGAGAAGGGTAAGGGAAGACTGTGGGAGTGTTACTGTTGACAGGAATGATGTCACAGTGTCAAATGATGTCTCCTTCATTTGGCCTGTTTGGTTGGGTTGGGTTTGGAGTTTTTAATTCTGAAATTGAGAAGTCCTGGAAAGCTTGAGACTGTTTCCTTGTTCTGTCTCCTCCACCAAACTTTTCACTGTGACCATTCTTTCCTCAAATATGCAGTTCCTAGTGCCAGGATTCAATTGTTCAGGGAGGTAGCTAGGAAGGATGGGAAGATACTACAGCAGATGGGAAGATACCTGCAGCCAGCCAGTTATTTTGGCCATCAACCTTCACTGATGACTTAAAAAACCTCAAGTATTTTATCTTATCCAAATGATAATTCATCTTTCTGGATATTTCCTCCCAAAAATCATCCTGGGTTATTGATATTCATAAGGTGGTCCTGTTCTAAATAGTTATATAAAAAAGACATGTATGTGCATGAGTCACATTGCTCTTTGCATCACACCAGAACAATGGCTTTGGGGTGAAAGTGTGTATACAGGACTTGGGTGTTCCAAATTTAACTCACAGTTTTGCTCCATTCTTCCTTTGTGACTCGAACCAATGACTTGGCCTTTTTGAGCCTCAGCTTCTTAAGCTGCAAAATGAGGTCTGTAAATCTCTCTGAGCTGCTGTGAGACTACAGTCATTCATTTTTGTGATGGGATCAGAGATTACGGTAGGGAAAACTTCAAGAAAAGTAAGTATAGTAGAATTCCAAATAAATTCACTCATAAAAAGGGAGTGGCTACAAAACCAAAAGGGACCCAGCTTTCACTTACAGATTTCAAACTGGACTTTATAAATGGTAATGCCACTTCCCCTTTCCCATCAAACACGTCAGATATGTTCATTTAGAAGTGAAAGGAAAAGATAAGGCACCCCATAAAAGTACCACAAGGTAGAGCCACTGGGGATTGTTCTCTCTAATGAAGAGTCAGTAATTTATCACCTTGGGCTTTGCCAAAAGTCATAAAAGCAGGCAACGAAAATTAGCGAAGAAAGGACATTCAGAAGACACACCATAAATGAACAGGAGGCAAAAATTAAGAGATGAAGATAGATTATCAGTTCTGGGGGAAAGCAAGACAACATTCTCGGTTTCTTTTCAAACTTCAGGCCTCAGGACTGATATAAAAGGAACATCTGCTTTGTTTGCTCTAGTACCTCCTAGAATTCACAAAAGCTGAACACACACTCTGGTTTTTGGAGTGGCCACGTGAGTTTTTGGGTCTGAACACAGCTTGTAGAAAACCACTAGTGCCTTTTCCTCTTGTCCCTAAATACGTATCATTCCTAAAGCTGGAGACTTGGGTGGTAATTAAGGATGTAAAACTGTAAGTAAACCCTGCTGCAATTACCTGAGTAATCTGGTTCAAATCAACTCACAGGGCTGATGGAAATGTTACTGCAGTCAATTATTTCCCACAGTTGCACAAGGGCCTGGTTCTTGTTCCCACTGAGTTCAAAGGTAAACAGGCTTTTAACTGACAGGAGCAGGAACTTGCTGTTGCTGGTAGGGATGGCTGCAGAGCTTTGGAGCTGGAACAAAACACACACAGCAATTATCCTGGCACCACAGACAGCATGTGCCAAACTCTCCGTCTTATATATGACAATAACTGAGTCCTTAACATCAGGGTCAAAATAGAGTGTTTCATCTTAATAAAAATTGAGTTTGTTGTTCAACTGCCTCTCCTGACTGTGCTGGTAGGTTAATGCCCAGCCTGTAAGGATGGCACTGTGGGATACACATATATTCATTTAAAGAAATAAGCTGGGCATTCCACCCAGCACAATTAATGCTCCTGGGTAACACGAGGCAGCTTGTAGCTGTTCTCACTCTCTGTGCTAGAAGGATGGGGCCAAAGAGTGACAGGCATGACCTTCCAGTGGAATCTGCAGTGCTCAGGAGGGCACATGGGCGTGACACCGAGTGACTCTTGGTGCATCTAGTTCGTCCCCATGGGCAGAGTGCTGGAATTTTAAATCTCTCCAGCCTTTTTGTCCCCTCTCAAGGCCGTGGGGTAATTCAAATTCTGGAGGGGAGACACTGGTGATGCAGGAAAAGTATCTCTTGCTCCAAATGTGCTCCTCACACTTTTCCCTGTGCTGCTCTGTCCTATCATAACGTGACACTGATGAAGTCAAAGAGAATCAATGTCTCAGAAAGTTATTTTTCAGACACTGTCAATACAGAGTGAAGACACAATTACACTAAATTTCTGTGTTCTGTGGAATAAATGATGGGGTTTAAAACTAATTCATTGCTCTTGATCAAGAAACAGTGTAGCTCAACTTTGGTTTGTTCCTGTGCACATGAGAAAATTGAGAAAACCAACCCTCAAGGAGGGGTTCTCATTAACCTCCTGCCTTCCTGCCAGCAGGAATAGCAATTCTCACAGCAGCAATAGCTTTCCTTTCACAGGACATAAAGGTTTTTCTACATTTTCCTTCTTTTTTTTTTCCTAATTAAGTTAGTTATAGCATTATTGTGGCCGAAACATATAAGCAGAGTTAAAGTAACTTTAGAAATCTACTCTTCTGCTTGTGCAGAGATTACAAATGCACAGTCCAACTCCTAAATCAATTTTGTTCTCATAGCTTTATGTTAGCATTAATTAAAAAAATAAAATTGAGGGCCACTGGGCTCTTCTGTAAAAGTTGAAAAAAGAGCTTTTCTTGTAAAAGAAATTTCACAGTGTTATCATTCTCAATATTTGAAGAAACACCCATAATTGAAAATTTCTAACTCATTTTTCTTCACATTTTGGTTTTTCATTAGTAATGATGTAGCTTCAGATGGAGAAAAATAAAAAGAAGGAGAAGCAAATTGGGAGCTCCCAGGCTGCAGTACAGGCAGCAAACATATTTAGTAAGTGCAACCTCAAGGACAAATAGTACAAAGCTCTTACTTGCAGGCACAGTCAGAAGCTGGCAGAAAGCTGAGGGGTCAGGAAGGCAAACAATTCAAGTGCAAAGTGTTTCATTGTAACCCTCTGAACAGGATGTTTCAGCCAAAGAAACGATTGTCCTTATGGAAGCACGAAAGACCTACAGGTGTATGGAAAGAATCAGCATTTTTATAATGTACAAGTAGAACATATTTGCAACCACAACTTAATACAGCTGGAAAGCATTTAATTTTAACTAGGCTCCTGGTCCTAAATAAACAATAACCACATTTCAAGTTCTACAGGAAAGCCATAAACTAGAGATTTTTTAACAGCTCATGCCCGATCAGAAACTCTTGAACGTGTGTAGTCCAAAGGATCAGACTTTAGTCCAGTCTCCTTAAAACCAAAGAATCCCAGACTGGTTTGGGTTGGAAGGGACTTAAAAGCTCATCTCATTCCACCCCCCTGGCCAGGGACACCTTCCATTGGACCAGGTTGCTCCAACCTGGCCTCGGACACTTCCAGGGATGGGGCAGCCACAAATGTGCCACTACATTTGCTGGGGATCAGATCTGAATATCAGCTTTTGATTTGTCTGCTCCAAGAATGGTGACAGGACAGGTACTGCTTTGAACACGTCCACACTTGTGAACTGATGTTACATCTGGGTTAAACACTGTCCCAGGCCAAGGGAAAATAACTTGTAACATAAAGAAAGGTAAGATCTCCATGCCCAGGATGGATCTGCTGACAGTTGCCTGGGGAGAATTGTCTTGAAAGAGTTATAAAAGCTGTAATTTTTCAAAAATTGTCGCAATTTCCTCTGTGCAAGATATATCTGCAGCTGGGAGCTCGCACGAGGCCTCATCCCAAAAGCTGTTGTCTTTGAGATGGCAGGATTGATCCTTCAAGGACAGGTAGTCAGAAGAAGGGGTTTTTTTAAGACATTAACTAGCAGCTCTCTCGGAATCCTCAGTACATTTTCTGTGGACTTAATCCAATGGAATTAATTAGAGAGACTTCTATTTGCTTAATGGAAATGAGACAAGGCATAATTTATAGCCCTGTTGTGGCAGACAGGCTCTGACTTTCTGTCCAGCACAAATCAAGGAAGGTGACTCTGGTGGAAGAATGGGAAGGAAGAAGGGAAAGATGTTTACATTGTTCAAGAAAGATGAACAGAGACTTGATAGAGAACCTGCCTTCAAAATGTAAGGCCTTGGCTGTTAAACCTGGGTCTTTTAATACTCCTCCATAATGCTTATAAATTTCCTACAATCTTTGCTCCTAAGTAAAGAATTTATCCAAGATCATCATTGCTTTGCCACAGGGAAAGGAAAGGAGATGAAGTGCCCTGCTCAGAGTAGCTCTTATCAGCCAGCCAGATGGCAAACGAGGTGCCAGAGTTTACAGGAAAGAGTCCAACGTGGACCATCAATCCCAACACAGCCCAAACACCATTAAAATGTCATTGCTAAGGACTCTGAGAGCCAAGGCACAGACAAAATGTGTTCTACACAAAGACTTCTGCAACCGGAATGAATTATGGAAAACCTCTCCAAAATGCAGCAAGGAAAAGCTATGGATGAATAGACCGGTGTGAGAATTACAGAGAACAAAAGGAACCTTCAATTGCAATACATATCTATATATAATTTAAATATTTACACAATAAATGACGATTCACTAAATTGTATTGGGTTTCACAAAGCGTTTTGTTCACTCATAGAAACAATTTTCTCTTTAAAACTGAAGCAGGGCCCAGATCCTTGGCTGGTGGTGTCCGTGGCTCAGGTGCTGCACTGCACTGAGCTGTGCTAGTCTGGCCACAGAGGAACACTCTGTGATGCTGGATTTAAAGACATGTTGTAGAATGATTTGTCTTTATGTGAAGAGAAAAAGGTCTTGTTCTTACCTCTAGGACTAACTTCTTTTTTCTGCATTTTCTCCATTTTTAGTGCAGCAATCCAAACCCTGTATTTCGCTCTCACCAAATCGAATATTTTCCCCTCTCACGTGGTTTTCACGATGCAGCTTTGTCAGAAGCAGAGTTTGATGTTACGACATCAAGGCTTTGCAATATCCAGAATTAACAAATGCAGCCTTTCCTTTAGCCATTAGATCTTTAGATGAGATGTGAAGTCCCTCACAAGGGGACAGGGACCAGCAGAAGAGCCACATCAGAGTCAGGGACACCTACAAACCACCTGGCTTAGGAGAAACACACCACTGGGATGAAAAGCAAGAGGGCTTTCCAACTCAATCCCACTAGTGCCTTCCAATAATGTGTTCTTCTTCAGAAATCAATTAAGATTTAGCATGAGTTTCATTGGGAAGGATCGCAAAGTTTCTAGCATTTTGAAATTAAAGTATTTGCATGTCATAGAAGTCTTTTCCATCATCACAGGAAATATAGCTGTCCAGAACAATGGTGTTTTAATGATGTATAATAATTTAATGTTGATTACCAAGCAAGAAGCACAGGAAAAAAACCTTTTTTTTCCAGGAGTGAGTTTGGGTCATCAGAATGCAACCGGCCCAAAGGAGATGCTGCCTGAGGTCCTGGCTTAGACATGCTTCCCAAAATCCCAAACGAGTTCCCCTGTCTACATGAAGAGAACTGGGAACACTCATCTGCTAACTGTGCTGTGGGGAAGATGCTACTCTTGCTCTCTGACGTCTCATGCGGTGGCTGATAATGAAAATTGATGGTGATTCATAAAGACATCTCCTTTCCTGAGAAAACTGGAACAGCAGCTTGCGTAATCCCAAGATTTACTTAATTAAGGAACATCCCAGCTATTTGATCATGGTTCCTGTCTCTTGTCTTCACCTCCTGCTCCCTCCCAGCTTTGCCTTTGATTACAATGGCCCTGATAAGAAACTTCATTCACAAAGCAAGCAGAGAGTGGGAAGGCAGCACTGAGGTGTGGCTGGTGATTTAAAAACTGAAAGGAGGCAGTGAGAATGTCTCAGGGAAGTCGGGATTGTCCTGTTTGCTGCAGGCAAAGTGAGAAGCTGGGGAGGGCTCAGCTGCAGTGTGGGCATGTGTATCTCAGAGATGTGTGTAGGTGAGGAATATACCTACAGCTTTAATGCCTCTGCCTGCTTCCGATGAGACAAGACCATTATTTGCAGTATTTTGAAGCACTTTCTGCTTGAAATCGCAGAAACACCCAACTTCGGTGTTTTGAAACACACTTCTGCACCGAGAATCTTGAAAAATTATAGAGAAATGAGTAAATATTATAATATACGATAATATATCACGCACATTTGACCGGCAAGACACTGAAGCTGTATCTAACATAATCTACAGGTTTCCTATTTCCTGACCAAAGCGGCCTCCGTATCCGGAGGAAGCACACAGGGAAATTGCACAGGGAAGTGTATCGCTGCCTTCCAGGTGACCTTGGCACTTTAAATCAGGAAGCAAACATGGAGCCTCAGCCTTCACCCGGTCTGTGGATTATTTATGATGATCTTGCAGCAGCTCTCAGGCTCAGCCAGGAATCAGGAACCCGCTGCACTATCTCACATACAAACACATAACAAACAGACAGGGCTTCAAATACCCCTCATTTATCAGTAGGGATGTTTTCAAATTACTTTCCCTGGTAAGACAGGATTTATCGTGAAGAGGGTGTGTGGATATTTCTCATCCAGATGGGAAAATGCCGTTCCCAGGGGGTTCCGAGGTGCTGGAAGAGGCGAGATGGAGCTGGCGTTGCCCCCCACACAGGGCAGGCTGCCAGGGAGAGTTCCCAGCATTAAGCATGGCATTTTTTGGCCAACCAGATATGACCCCTTGAACTACAGCCCAGAGCAACGAGGTGGAGCCATGGCTGAGGCAGGGCCGTGGCTGAGGGAGAGTCATGGCTGAGGAGGTCATGGCTAAGGGGGAGTCATGGCTGAGGGGGAGCCATGGCTGAGGGGATGACATGGCTAAGGAGGTGACCTGGCTGAGGGGATCATGGCTGAGGGGGGGCCATGGCTGAGGCGGGGCCACGGCTGAGGGAGTGTCATGGCTAAGGAGGTCATGGCTGAGGGGATGACATGGCTGAGGGGGTGCCATGGCTGAGGGGATGACATAGCTGAGGGGATGACATGGCTAAGGAGGTCATGGCTGAGGGGGTGTCACAGCTGAGGGGGTGACATTGCTGAGGGGATCATTGCTGAGGGGATGACATGGCTGAGGGGGGGCCATGGCTGAGGGGGGGCCATGGCTGAGGGAGTGTCATGGCTAAGGAGGTCATGGCTGAGGGGGTGTCACAGCTGAGGGGGTGCCATGGCTGAGAGGGTGCCATGGCTGAGGGGGTGCCATGGCTGAAGAACACAGGCAGCACCAGGTTTGAAAAACAAGGGTCACTCAGCCAGTTGCGCTCGCGGCTCAGCACTGCGAGCAACGCCCGCGGCGGCGCCGGGTACCGGCAGAAACGGGCACGGCGGGTCCGCCCCTAGGACCACCTCCTCCTTCTCAGCCCTCACGGGCCTGGCGGTTCTCCCGCCGCCCCTGAGGCGGACGCGCCTTGACCGCAGCGCCCCGGGACGCGGAGGGCGGAGCGGCCGGACTCGATTCCCGGCCGACCGGGGCCGATCACCGCCCCAGCACCGCCTCCTTCCCTCCTTGCCTCGCTTCCTCCCGCCCCGCGCAGGCGAACGGTCCGAGGCGCAGCCCTTGCGTGTTCCCGCAGCTTCGTGGCCGCGCTTCCCGCTCCGCTCCCGCCACCCTCCTCCTCCTCCTCCTCCTCTCCCGGCAGCGCCGCGCCCTCCGCGCCCTCCGCTCCCTATTCCCGGCGGGCCGGGGCTGCCCCTGCAACCGGCTTCCCCCGCAGTCCGGAGGCTCCCAATATGTTCAGCGCCGTCTGCGCTCAGAGGCACCAGGTAGGGCGGGCGGGGGGCGGCAGGGCCGTGCGGCCGCTCTTTGTTCGGCGCCGGGGAGCGGGCGGGGCGGCGGCCCGGGCGGGCGCCCCGCGCTGAGGGAGCCGGAGGCGCTGCGG